TGTGAATGTCTAATCTCAGTCCACTGACTTAATAAATTTCCTCCTCTATCGACTTTACCTTCTGTTGTGCAAGTTTAATTGATGTAATTTCAAAGACTGAGCGATTGCAATTTTATGTATAGTAGATAATGGCATGTACACATGGATGGAAATTAATATTTAACTTAGTCCTATCTCTAGTGAGCATTAATATTCTCATCTGAAATATGTCAATTCCTAGTGAATGATGAGCAGTTGCTCAACTGGGTAGTACTAATGACCTGTCTCGGCTAATTGGCATCTCTTTATAATCTTTCTCTTCTTTTGAAATCTCTCAATTCAAACTCTCTTTATTCTACTTGAGCAACTTAAGTAGTGATACTAATGCATGCCTCTAATCGAAGTATTAGTCATTGACCAGAAAGCATAAAGCATATTTCACGCAGATGATCAGAGATATTGCTTCCTCCGTCATAACGGTCTGAAACCCGAACACGATCAATAGCTACTTCAGCTGGGGAAGAAACCTGACTTACATGGACTTCATGTGAATATGGTGAAGGAAATTTTGCTTGAATTGCTATTAGGTCCCAATATTGCAGTCTTTCACTCATATCCAGGGTGTGATCATGTGAAAGAGATGTCTGCGACATAATGTGGAGCACTATCATGCCGTAATCATGAAGTTATTTCAACTAGATTGCATATTGTGATTTAAGACATGTCTTAGAAATGCATACGACTTTAAAACATCTTCAGCTTGCTGTGTAAAGGATATACCAGTACCTACTTTGTAATTCATCGTGGAAGTCACTTATCTCCAGACGTATTGCATTCCATGTTTAAATTGATTCTCTGTGTGTTTACTGTCAATCGCGAGTACAGTTTCGTTGAGAAAGCAACTTGAAGGGGATACTTGACATAGAACAGAAGGTTAGTTTATGCAATTAGGGTACGCGGGATATTGGTTGAAGGAGGCACTCTGACTGTGACCGATGTAGAATTGGTATTTAATTTGACCCTGATTACGATTGTCTGTTGAAGTGACCATTACATAATTTCATGCACTTCTTGTTTCCATTAGTCCGAGTAGATATGTACACCATCTCCTCTCTCTCACCCTCACTCCCTACCTACCTACATCTTCCTCTCACTCAATCAAACACAACATGGTGCACTCATGAATAGAATCAATTTGAATGACGTGTTTATATAAATATATTCTCGCACCAATTTCTAGCAAGTGAACAACTTGTTCTTATCAATATCTGAAAGTCTTTCTAGGAGCACCATTTATGAGAATTGCAAAATCAATGTGAGCTGACGAAAGGATGTATGATGTGACGACTGGTGAGTAGGTGGGTATAGGTGAATACTTCCCAATCTGAGGTAGGAACAGCAATGATGGAAAGTGGTGAGGATGGAGTGGGTGCCAAGTGAATAGAGAGACGAAATTTCATTTTATAGTTACACTTGTCCTCATATTTTGTTAAGATACTATCTATGTTCATACTTCTGGATATCCACACCAATGAGTAGATTGACCAGAAGAAGACGAAGAGCATCTGGCTAAACTTGGCTACTGCAGTAATTAAACTTAGAATTACATGATCAAATGCACTATTCGAGTGCCAATAATATGCGCGACATTTGCTCTATTGACTAAACAGGTAGTGAGAGGCCTACTTCAGCTTGTCACGAATGGGTTCAACATTACATTGAGTGCTAGTTGCGAGACGAATGGGCAAGGAAATTATATTTCAACATATTGAGTTCTAGATATCGAAAAGGTAAACCTAAAACAGCGGAGCATTAGTAAACAAAGTCGATAGAGGAAGAAATTTATTAAGTCAGTGGACTGAGATTAGACATTCACATATCTAGTCGGTGCCAACTACATTCTCAATGCACTCGAGAGTTCTCTCCATGCAGCCATCTTTGCCATGGTCGAAGGCACAGGACTCCTCGGCGTCCATGCAGTCGTGGTAGACAAAGAAACGAGCCAGCATCTTACAATGCTCCACCTTCGGTGATTGCTTGCACTTTTCAAGTCTCGCTTCATAGGCCTCCTTCGCATGTGGGCCATCCGGTCTCTTTGGGTGCATTGGCTTATCGCAATGCTTCTCCTTATGCTCCCCCTTCGCCTCATGTTCCTTCTTCACTTCATGTTCCTTCTTCGCCTCATGGCCTTTCTTCCCCACTGGCACATTCGATTTCCTTGCATGCATTGGCATATTGAAGTGCTCCTCCATTGAATTATGCATGCTTTTGCCCATCATCTCCTCATGCTCACCTTTTGCGTCATGTTCCTTCTTCGCCTCGTGTGCTTTCTTCCCCTCATGACCCTTTTTTGCCTCATGGCCCTTCTTCCCCATGGCCACGTCCAAATTCTTTGTATGCATTGGCATATTGAAGTGCCCTTCCATCGAAGTATGCATGCTTTTGCCCATCATCTCCTCATGGGCCATCATTTCCTCATGCGCCTTTTGGGCCGCCTCATGCACCTTCTTCGCATTTGGACTGCCCGACTTGTGGGGGGCTGCCACCACTGTGGATGCACAAAGTGCCATGACAGCAAGAACTCCGAAGAGGTAGAGAAGGAGGAGAGTCGACGTCTTCTTCATTGTGAACTCGAACTTCACTTGTTGGCAGAGCATTGTGTCGAGGCCTATTTATACCTGTTTGCCACATCATACTTCACTAGTACTTTAACAGTTGGCGAATCAAGTTGAAGAGGATTAGTTCAAATCTCTATGTACTTATTGCATATGGCGTATGCCCACACCAGCACCACACAGCACATAATACATGACCCCCTACATTTGAGTTCACGCATTTTCACAATCCATGGAAATTCAAGATGACGGAGATCATTGCCTCACCTGCTAATTCCATTAATTTGCTCTCTACCCAATAAGAACTGGACTTGAAATCGAGCATTGAATCGTCTGGGGAGATGGAGCAAACGAATAAATGAGTGAATGAAGCACAATTTTGTAGCCATAAGTTTGAAGAGTGGTGAACTTTGGAGTAGGTATTATGCAACTAGTTTGAGTAAGAGCTCTGATATTCGATGCGGACAAACGCGACTGAAGTCAGCAGAGCTGTGTGTCTGCCCACACCGACTCACAAACCTGCAAGCAGACAACGAGGTCATTTAGGTGTGAAAGGAAGTAAGGCAAATTGTGAGTAGTCAATGATGACAGAGCTTTATAGAGGGTGGCCATGATGTGTGACCTCACCTGTCCAGTATGCCACTGAAGTCGACACTGAACAGTTTGGTGAAGTTACCCAATTTTCGCTTCTCACTACTCACTATTTTCATGTATAATAATAGCATTAATATTTATTTATATCAAATGGCAGGCGTTTTGATAGCTGACTACGGGCTTCACAGAGGGATAGTTCATCAAAGTAGAAGAAAGTCGAGGGATGGGGAACAAAAGAGCGATTCACAGATGCAAAAGAGGCAGACAAACATAAACGTAGAGGAAAAGGTAAGTTGAGTACTGTGTTAGGGGTCGAATATGACAATCAGTCGGGCCATGGTAGTTTGATGTCAGAAGTCAACTGCCGCTTAATAGACTNAGTAGCTACATCACACATCTTTTTGCCACCTCTCCCACCTTCCCACGACTGATGCCTCCGTCTTCCTTCCAACACCATTTAAACACTATTCCAACCACTTTTCCCTTTGACCTTTCCTTATCCACCTAATAATCCAACACCCCCTAACTATCTCATCCAAAGCCGTCTCTCACCAGTTTGTCCTTCCAAACTTCTACTCTCATCACTTGTGTCACCTCAATGTCAATTATACCTGAAGTGAAACAACAGAAAGGGACAAAGAATAGCAACAGAAGGTCTCTGTTAAGAACTGGTGCCACAACTGACATTCGTTGACTCTGTTGGCGCTAATAGTTGGGAAATAGACAGTTCGGTTTCTAGAATTCATCTACCAGTGGGAGATTCCTCCACCGTCCAACAAATTACATCAGCTGAACTGCTTATTTAATTTCACCCACACACATATATCGATCAATAGATTTCGTAATAGACTTTCAAATATTGATGAGAACATGTTTCTTCTTCCTGGAAAATGAGGCAAGGAGATAATAAAGTAGAGAGAGATAGAGAGAGAAAGAGAGAGAGAGAGAGATGGCGAGAGTAATAGGCGTGTATATTCACTTGGTCTAATGGTAGCAAGAGGCGCACGAAAGTTTGAAATGGACCCTTCAACAGGCAATCGAAAGCGAGGTAAAATTTGACAACAATTTTTTATCGTTCACCGACATATTGCCTCCTTCGACCGACAGATTGCTTCTTAAACCGAATTCTTACGTCCCCGAATTGCATAAGCCAACCTTTTGTTCCATTTTAAGTATCCACTTCAAGTTGATTTCAAAACGAAACTGTACACGCGATTGACAGTAAACACACCAAGAATCCATTTAAACATGGAATGTGACTAAGGAGGTGAATATCTCCCTCCAGCTCACCAATAACAAGCCTTTGAATGTTGGGGCACGCATAGTTTTAGAACAGGCTACATGAAGCATTGCTAACAGGCCGGCAACATGAGATTCTCCCAGTAACACACCAATGACCTAATCCACAACACGCACTATTGAATTCACGATCCACAAAACTTTTTTGTCCAAAAATACTCAATTTCTACTTAAATTGAGACTTCTCGTTTTCAATGTTTAGTTCTCGACCACAGTCAATTCATTAAATGACATTGTAACGAATGATACAATAGAGAAATGACAATCAGAAAGACCCCATCTACATTTCACTCTGAATTATTTTAATTTTTTTGAATTCAAGTTGTGGATTGAAATTGAATTCCTATCCCAAATCCTAAAAGGACACCTCGATTGTTGTTAAAGTTCAGGCAACAAGTACTAGTGATTTGATTGGCTTCTTGTGGTTGGCACGAGACATAAATAAGAGGAGGACGGAAGATTGAGTTCAAGTAGGATCTGAAAGCACTCGAATCACTATGTTCTTCAGACGTCCTGTTGTGTTCACTGCATTTGTCTTCTTCCTCGTCGGTCTGGTGGCCTTGACTTGCGCCAACGCCGACGAGCACTTGAAGAAGTATGAGGAGCATTTTGAGGAGTGTGAGAAGCTTTGTGAAATCCACGGCAAAGAGGAGTGTGAACACGAGGTGGAGAAATGCCAGTTCTTCGTTCGTGATTTCGTCTACAACGACTGCATGATTGAGGAGAAGAAGTGTGTGGATGAAGGCGAAACTGACTGTCACAAGCACTTCCTCGAGTGCATTGAACATTACGCCAGGGATTAAGGACCACCCATGTATGTGCTAAAATGCAGTAGTTTGCCCAAATACAAACTGCTTCATCCCAAATTCGCATTTCATTCTCTTCCACCCCATGACTTGGACAAAAGTCATTTTGCTGTCAATACTTGTGATGCATACCACAACAATGTGTTGCTTTTGGTGTGCATTGAATAAGGTGACTTTTAGCTTCACACTTAGATAATAGTCTGCATTGATTATCGAATTCAATTCGATCGGTTAATGGCAACTGACCTCTTATCATTTACTGACTTCTTTCTGATTTGCGCTTACTTATATGTTTGTGAATTTTATTTAACTTACTTTGGACACCTCACATTCCACCCCCCCCCACTTCTAGAATTGAATGCGTTCCATTTTCGTGATTAGCCCTATGATCCACCTATTATCTTTTACTCAATCTGGTGAGATCTTTGCTAATTCTTTTACTAAATATTAACTTTTCCGTTTACAAGCCTCTTAGCATGGAACGCTTCGTTTGCACCAGAAAGCTACAAAAGTATGACTCTTTACTATTTCGAGGCAGTAAAAGGCCTGAAAGACATATAGGCACCAATGGTCGTTTAAGTGTGAGAAGTAACCTGACTTTTCAGGTATGTTAGGCTACGAGAAATGGTCAAATTCGCCTATTTTAAAATGGTTACCAATGCCTAACATTTCAAATGTGGACATGCATTAGTATTAGTAATCGGCATCTCATTGGGCATTCTTGCCACGTCGTCGAAAAGAGTCGAGAATTTGAATGCTTCCTGTTAATTCCCACTCACATTCATTTTGATTGGTTAATGGCTAGAAAGCAATAGGTGCGCAAAATACCACTGAAGGCTATTGGCCCAAATCAGAAGCCAATTTTCCTACCAAATTCTATTTCCCTTTGATTCTCCCACGAGTGGTGTGGCTAGTACTGTGCCGAGGCATTAGTTATGAGCAGTCCACATTATCTAATTGCCACATTACCGGAAATAAACTGAGTGTATTTTCTGACTTTGTCCAAATTGGCATTAATTTGGAATTCAGTAATACTCATTATCCCTTGAAGTTAGAAATTGGTAAGTCCCTTTGCTCAGGTGATTATCTTTTGTTTGAGCAAATTAGAGTGAAATATTTCAGTGTTCGATGAATGGAGCGTGGGAATTTCAGCCGGAGTACCACAAATAATCCGACTGTTTTCTCAAAAAATTGGCGCGAGCATGTGGGCTTAAATGTCATAACTACCAGAGGGAAGTAAAGATCGAGTCTTTAAGTTCTGAAAGGTCAAGATTCCTCTCCTTCTGAAGTAACTATTCGTGCCTATTGGTCATTCGGAAATTTCCGCTTAGAGATAGTTCAGGAGCACACGTTTATTGCTTTCTGGTTCTAATGGAGAGTTCCATAGAATGAGACTTGTAAATGGTAAAGAAGTTATTTATTGATAGACATATCAGCGATCTCACCCCATGGAGTAAAAGTTTGGAGCTGGGTCATAAGGTTAATGACAAAAAGATTTATGATGGAATGGTTCGCTTTCCATCAAGTTATGTGCTGCGGAATAACAATTCTCCCCCCCCCCCCAGTTCCAGTTAATCCCTCCCCGACCCTCCAACACCCTCCTTGTCTGAGTCCCTTTGACATGTTCAGATGTGCGTATTCAATTGTACGTTTGACTTTCTGATTTTGTAGGTCACACCGGAAAACATACAGTATATGGCAGTTGGGATTTCATATCTTGGAGTGAGCATTGTGAAGTTTAGGGATCCGGTTTCCTCTGGCAACTCTAATAGACGTCGTGTTATTTTGTTTTGGTATTAAAACGTGTGAAAAACACCGTGACGTGTTGCCATAGCCCACGCTGATCTGTTTGATCACCAAGGGGATTGTCTATTCAAAAGAAGGATGAAGGCAGAATATTCGTAATTACAGCACACATCATTCATTAGATGAAACAATTTTGCAGCATCTAAGATGGAGTGGAAGCAAAATCCTCACCTAGAAAATTACTTTGAGTGAAATAAAAAATCAAATCAATTATTATTATTATTGCAGCATACATTCCATTTCTCTCCTTGTCGATTAACGAAATAAACAATGACGAATTTTATCCATCACTATCACTCAAATCTGATTCGATCTTTCCATAACTGCAATTCTAAAGTCAACCATTCAATAGGAATGCCATGTTTCAGGTCACCGTATAATGGTAAAATAAATTTCCAAAAAATGGTTTGAGAGAGAAGAGTTAAAACAGGGCACCATTTTTAAGGAAATCATTTGCCAATATTCGAAGTTCAGAAAGGCTTCTCGATCTGTCGACGAATTTTTGCTGAAATAGAGGAGCTGTAATGGGCAATCTCAAAATAAGTGGGTGGAGTTTTCTCGAGGCTAGGATTGAAACCTTCATTGCACCCACTCCGTCCATATTGCTGCTCAACATAACTGCGGGTCTAGGAGGGGGGGGGGGGCAGATTTGGGGAATGAGGAGTAACATTTCTAGAACCCAATTAATTATTCAGACTGGGTAAACCTAAGCGAATATTAATCCATCAAACTCCAAGCAAGCCATTTCACACCAAACGGTCAAGTAAATGGTAATTACAATCGATGGAGGTCCATCCTCACTAGTGTCTTTACCATCTTCTGCCACTTGCAATACAAATGTAGAAGTTGAGCAGGTGGAATTAGGAATCAGGTGTGATCTCTACAGGCGTTGTGAAGTGTGGAGGCAGTGTGTCTTCCATTAAAAAAAATGGGCAAATCGAATTTATCCGACCAAATTAAAATAAGATACTAAATGCAGTTCAGGTATTCGCTTGATCGACACATTTTAAACCTAATTTTGTCAACTGTTACTAGAGATTTCCTCGAGACTTTTCTTGACAGTTCATCAAATCCTCCGATTAAATCTTCATCGAAGGAATTGTGTTTCCGTATCAAACTGATTTCTGGTTGTTTTATTATCTGTGTCACAGCATCAAATGCTATACGGAGTAGTGATTCAAAGCCTTGTTATGGTTCGCGATTTCATCCCTAAGTTTGAAACAAATGCCAGAAGTAAGGGTTTTGTTATACTTTACTTCTTCTCATTTCATAACATAATTCTAATTGAAACAAAGGGGATCTAAATTAATAGAGCGGCAAACAAATATGAAGTAAAGAAGAAAAATTTCACAATGGTCTTTGGGAGAACGAATTGATAGTTGATGGGAGTCAAGTGCATTGAAGTAGCAAGTTGACGTAGATAAGAGATCAGTAGCTTGCATTTCACCAATAGCGTTGCTGACGCAGTTAAGAGTTTTCATCATACCTCTGTTTCACTAAGTAAGTGAGTGGGTAAGCTTAAGTCTACATACACCCCCTCCACCTCGACAAGTAAATCTCAGATTTCCCCAAATGACATTTCGTTAAGTTTCCACCAGCAAATTTTCCAGATCTGTGAATATTGGTCTTTAGAATGCTCACAAAATTCGTGGCAAGTTCTGCAAATTTTGTATTTCCTATCCGCAAACATCAAGTTGCCCAACAGTTGTCGTGCAGGTGGATAATTCAAAGGAGGTGTGATTAAAAGAAATAGAGTCACTTTGGTAACTATTTTCAATTCAATGTCTACTACTCAATCGAATGCATGTCATTGACATGCAAGGGTGGAACCACTGCCTGACTGATGAAAAATTTTACCCCAAATGCAGTCAAATGCCCCATTCGAAAAAAGATGGCCAACAACTCAAATTCATACATTAGTCGACTATAAATTCTGATATTCGCCATGCTGTCAAATAAATGAAATCCAAGGTCTGATCAGTCCAATATCAAACATTTCAAACATAGACATGCACTAGTATTACTACTTAAGTTGCACAAGTAGAGTGGGATGGGAGTAGATGGTGAGGAAGGGCGAATACTGGAGACAAAATGTACAGATTTGATATGGTGACACAGAGAGAGTACGAGTGTACCAAAAGATCCCGCTCAGTTAGGGTTCCTTTGGCCACTTATTTAACCTTCTCCATATTAACCCCGGGACCAAGCCACAGTATGTTCTCAAGTGCTTCATCGTAATGGGCGTGGTCGAAGCACAGTGCAGAATGGTTCCGTGATCACTTGAAATCCTAAGAGATGCCTAATGGCCAAGTCAAATTATTAGTACTACTCAATTGATTTATATGCACACTGTGGACCACTTTTTGCATGATAAAAAAGAATTTTACAATTATTAATTTCAATCAAATCGTTGCATGCTCTAGTTAAATTAACAATGACTCTGACTCAGTACTTCAAGGAGCGTCAGATTCAATGGAACGGTAAGAAGGAATGCTGTTGGTAAATGATATTTATTAAGTGGAGTGTGCGATAGACTTACATCCATGTGGTGCACCCTGGGCAACGTATACCCATACGGCAAAAAGGTCTATTAACTGGCAATTGACTTCTGGCTTCAAACTACAATGGCCCAACTGTATGCCATATTCTACCACTTTCGCAGTACTCATCCTACCTTTTTTCTGCCTTTGTGTCTGTCTCTTTTACATCTGTAAATCACTCTACTGTTCCCCACCTATCGACTTTCTGTTGCTTTGATGTTCCTTCCCCCTGTGAAGCTCGAAGTCAGCTAAAAGCTAATGATAACTATCAAAACGCCTGTCATTTGAAATAAATAAATATTTATTAAGTCGGTGGAATGAGATCAATTTATCATATATATATCTAGGCAGTGCCAACGACGTTCCGAATGCACTCGAGAGTTTTCTTCATGCAACCATTTTCGCCGTTGACATAGGCACATTCCCGTTCAGGTTCAAAGCAATCGTAGTAGACAAAGAAACGAGCCAGCCATTTACATCGCTCTTCCTTCGAACTATCCTTGCATATGGCTAACTTATCTTCATAGGCCTTCTTCGCCTCTGGACTGCCCGGCTTATGTTTAGGTGCCGGTATTGCGGATGCGTGAAGTGCCATGACAGCAAGAACTCCGAAGAGGTAGAGAAGGAGGAGAGTCAACGTCTTCTTCATTATGCACTTGAACTTCACTTGTTGGCAGAGCATTGTGTCGAGGCCTATTTATACCTGTTTGCCACATCATGGCCCACTTGTACTTTATCAGTTGTCGAATCAGGTTGAGGAAAATTGGTTCAAATCTCTTTGTACTTATTGCACATGGAGTGTGCCGACATTTGTACCATAGCGTAAAAAAAAACATGATATTCTTCTTTTTAGTTCTTTCCTGATTCAAACCATTCTGCAAGGTAATTCTAAAGAGGATTTGCTTTGATCCAATATTCTGAAATAATATTAAAAATTAATCATATCCATAGCCATTACAGCCATGAAAAGAAGATTCAAGCATGGGGATATAAGAGCGAATATATTTTGATAACCAGTTACATGACGCATTGCTAACAGACAGGCACCACGAGATTCTGCCAGTAGCACACCAATAACCTAATCCACCACACCCACTAATGAGATCACGATCCACAACACTTTTTTGATCAAAAAAACACTCAATTTCTGATTCAATCGAGGCTTCTCGTACTCATGGTTTGGCTCTCGGCCACAGTCAATTCATTAAATGACATTGTGACGAATGGAAAAAATAGTGAAATAACAATCCGAAAATGCCTACTCACATTTCACTTTGTATTCTTTTAAAGCGTTAAGTCAAGTTTGACTATGCATTTTAATTCCTGTACAAATCCTAGAAGGACGCATCGGCCGTTGTAAAAGTTTTGTCAACAAGTACTTGTGATTTGATTGGCGGCTTGTCGTTGGCACAAGAACATAAATATGGAGAGCAAATAATAATGCATTCAAGTAATTCTGAAACGAGCTCTAATCACTATGTTCTCCAGGTGTCCTGGTGTGTTCACAGCATTTGTCTTCCTCCTCGTAGGCCTTGTGGCCTTGACTTGTGCTCTCGAGGAAAAAGCTATTAAGAAATATGAGGAACGTTATGCGGTGTGTGAGACGCGTTGTCAAATATTCAGCAAAGAGGAATGTCCTAGCAGAGTGGAGAAATGCCAGTATCTTGTACGTGCAAAAGTCTACGATGACTGCATAGATGAGGATGAGAAGTGCGTGAATGAAGGCAAATCTGACTGTTATAAGAACTTCCTCAAGTGCCTTGAACAATACGCCAAGGATTAAGGTCCATTCTTTTATGTGCTTATAATGTAATAGTTTGCCAAAATACAAACTACTTCCACCCAAATTTGCATTTCCTTCACTTCCATTCCATACTTTGGGCAAATATAATTTCGCTGTCAATACTTGTGATGCTTTCAACGATAATGTGCTGCTTTAGGTGTGCATTGAATTAAGTGACTTTTAGCTGGACAATAAGACGATAATAGGCATCTGATAATCGAAATTACTATGATCGGGGAATGAACGCTAAACTTTTGGGCAAATCGTGTGGTCGAACGAGAATTTTTGTGCATGACGATAGTGGTTTTCATCCCATCATCAATCAAATTTGAGAAATGTCAAATTTTCAACTCACTTTGGGCTCTACACAGTGCCCACCTTTATCACTACGCGATTTCCCTTTACTATCTTCCTTTTCCTCTTCTTTCTGCAAATTTATCCATACACTCTCTTATTCCTTTCTTACATTATCCCCACAACCCACTAAACCTGTCCAAACCAACTATTTATTATCTCTTAATACGTAAGACTGTCTCATCCCCTTAGCCCCCGCATGCCTGTATTCCTGTCTGGAAAACAAAACGATCCAAGGAAACCGAACTTAAAATCTTCCATCTCCCATGTGAATTATGTCTGCTGGAGTAACCTTCAAATGCGGGAAGTCATACGTATAAATGGATAAGCGCATTAACACATGCCAAATGGACAGAAACGTAGTTGGTTGCGAAATGGGGTTGATGAGCTGGAGCCGAGAGTGGAATTGTCATTCCGCAGACCACGTCTAGAAGTAAATCCGATCGATCGAATCCATTAACTTACCATGATTAGCTCTTTGGTCCACCTCTTAACATTTTATTCCATGGGTGATATCGTTGCTAAGTCAGTTATTAAATAGCTCCTTTATCAATAACAAGCAATCGGTTAGAGACCCAATACCATGAATTGCTTTGTTAGCACCAGAAAGTTTCAAAAGTATGTTCCTTAACTATCTCATGGCAATAAATTTCTGAAATGCGAGTATGCACCAATAGCTACTTCAGTTGGAGAGGAAACTTGACTTTTCAGGACTTCATGTGTCAATCTTTACTTCCCTCTGGTAGTCGTGACATTGAAGCCTACATATTCACTCTACTTGTTTGGAAGCGATGGAAAGGATATGACGTCGATAATTTCCGAATTTTTTGATGTGACTGACCAGTTACTGATTGAAATCGCTCTTTAACCATAAAAAGTTTCTTTCTTTACTTAAATACTTCCAAAATTTTTATTTATAATATATTTGCTATTGGGGTTATTGAACATTTAAACACACAATATCAGAATGACATTTTCAGTCAAAATACTAAAAAAATAAATATTGTTTGAATTTATAACGAGTCTGATAATCGAAAGTGAATAACTCATTATTTATTTATTTATATCGAATGGTGGGTTATTTGTTGGTTATTATTCGTTTTTAGTTGACTTCAGGCTTCA